CATTTATACTAAGGAATTTAAAATTTATATATAAACACCAAAAAAATCTTATATATATCATATAAATTTGTTATCAAGAAAATTCAAATGAATATAGCTTTGCTTCTTCTAGATTCGCCCTTACACAAAAATAGTTAAAATGTACAAATTTTGTGTCTATAATACTGAACAAATGATTGGTATTTTCTTTATCTCTTATACATAAAAATGACGATTTCCTATAATTAAAAAATTCATAACATCAGAAAATTGGATTTGTAACTGGCCTACAGAATCAAATTTAACTATTTTGAGATTTTAAATGTCACATGCAAAAAAAATCAAGTGGATTAAATTGGACAGATCAAAGTAAATTTTCAGTAACTAAATATACGTGCTAATTTCTCTAAATAAATAATCACATGAAATTTTAATTTCTTTTTCCCTTAATTTATGTGATATTTACTTTTTTTAGGTTGTTTCAAAAAGAAAGTTTTTTCATAGTTCTGTATTAATTGTGCACTTTGTTATAGATAATTCTTCCAATCATTTTGATCTCATTTATCCTTAAAATTATTCCTTTTTTGTTTTTATAATGTAATCAAGTTTTTAAACCTTAAGAAAAAGATTCTTAAAGTCCAAATAACTGAAATTTATCATTTTTATTTATGATTTTTGTAATGAGATAAACAAATAAACATCAACACAAGAACCCCAAATTGAATGATGCTGCTTCGAGTGTCTTCTTCACAGATGAGGATGAATCATGTCTGACATAAATACTTCTCGATCTAACGTGGACTAATCCCTTAACAGGAAAGAAATTACTACTAGCCAAAAAGTAAGTTTCCACTCAATGTTTCAAGCTCCCTAAGAGAATTCAACATACAACATAACTTTGATATAAACAAGCAAAGTCTCAAATCATACATCATCTAAGAACAAGCATGAAAGTAAAATCCATCTCTATTACCAAACAGACTATTCAAAACAATCACAATTCTATTTTTCCAAGCAGATAAAATCTTTTTAGTACCTTAAAGAAAAGGCAAAACACAGCCTTACTACTCTATCAACCAAAGGTCCCGTTTCTATTTGTACTTCCAAAAAACTTTTAACTAAAGATTAAGAAGGATTGTGATAACGATACTAATCAACAAGATACACAACTTCTTCTTTAGATTATAAAAGATAGTCAATTAGATGAAACAAAAAAGGGCATCTAAGATAGAATGCTCAAGCAATATTGTTGTATGTTATTGAGCTTGTTTTTTTGTTCTTTTCTTTATAACCAAGAAGTCCTCGAGGGTCAATAGTGCACGATTCATAACTCAGTAGATGATAGACCCACCCCTTTACTCTTCTGCACTTATATACCATACTTTTTGTCTGCGGAAGGGTTCGATTGAGCTTATATATATGTGGTTATATGGAATCTGCATAAAGGAATGGGATATGTTCTGACTGTATAGGAAAAAGACTGATTTATGAACAACTGACCCCAATCCCATCCCCACCTCTTTTTTTTCCCTTTCCTTTTTTTAGTGCTAATTATTCTGGGATGTAGAATTTTAACATTGAGCTTGTAAGAATAACATTTTTGAAAAAAAAATTCAGCTTATAATGTATATTGTATCATAATTCTCATTGAAAAATGTGTTGAAAGGGATTATCTTTTCCATTCAAAAGGGGTATTGTTTACTAACCATTAAGATCAAGGGATATAATCAAATTTCATTCATTGCCACTATGCAGAAAAATGTGTCAACAACGTCGTTGACTCTCATAAAACAACTAGTTGAAATCGACTATATGAATCCTTACTATTCCACTTACGCTCAACTCATGTCATGATAATATCAAATAAAAAACAATGCACAATGACCATGAGGACCACAATGAATATATTAAAAAGATCAATAACCAACCAAACCGTCATCCCATAAATCATTCAAAGAACAGACATTGAAACAGATTATCAAAAACATCCATCCAGATTCACCTATGTTCACAAACTGATGGTCTTCACAGTGGCAAATGCAAAATAACAGCCTTACTATTGTATCATCATTCTTTTTACGATTTCAAACATTTTAGCAAAAGATTATGATATGATTAAAGACTAGTTAAGATCAAAGAGGATCGTAATATGGATTCTAATGTACACTATACACAACTTCTGCTTTAGATGATGTACGTTGAAATTTTATTACCTCAGCGAGTACTTTAAAAGATTTTTTATCTTCCGTTTCACAGGGCTTGGTTATTATTCTAACCAGTGTTGGAGACTTGGCCAATAAAACCTTGATAAACTGCATTTGAGCTGCTACTCCTGTTACATTATAAATCTTTACTTTCCTCAGGTGATTAAATGTCATATCGGAGAAACTTTCAGGAATATCATCTACATCCTCTCGGCGCGCATGTTCAAAATAATTCTAAGAAAGATTAAGAAAAACCATCAGCCTTGAGTTAAATTTGAAGATCATAAGAAAGTCAAATACATACGAAAAAGAGAGAGAAAAGTAAACATCATTAGCAACCTCGATTTCAATTTCTTCTAAATTTGGAGAGCTTCTTATCAAGAAAAGAGCAAACGAAAGATCAAAGAAGACTCCTTGATTAATGCAAGATATGTGAAGGCGTTTAAGATAGAAAAGAGCATAAGGGAGCCGATCCAATATACACGTCCTAGTAAGAAAATGTTAAAAATCAGGATGACTCAAAGTTATGAAAATGCAAGTTATGAAGCTATATTACCTGAACATACTCGTGATTCCTGCAGAGATTCTTGACAACAGGAATAGACTCAAAAATCTTGTCAATATCATGTTCTACCTCTACCGAAAATTCTGTAGGCTCATATGAAACTTTGGAAAGAATAGGGACATTCTTTAAATGTAAAACCTTTATATTGTCAATGAAGATAATTGACCTCAACTTGGGAGCACAAATTTCAATGTGATTTGTAATAGCGTCGTGTTGCAGCACCAAATGCTCAAGCAACGGGCAATGTGAGATTATAATTCCAATAAATTCATAAGAAATATTGACTTCAATTAGTGCTAAGCTAATTAATTAATCAAATCCTTCAAAGACTAGATGAGGACATCTTTGACAGTCCTTGAGAAACAGATACCTCAATTGTGAACATATAAAATATGCAGAATGCAATTCATATGACTTACTGCTAAACAGAGGTTTAAGGACAAGATGTTAAATGCCATTCCTAGAGAGGAAATATATCAACTGATATCAAGTCCTCTGTCGTTTTCCTAAGTGTTTGAACAAATTTAAGTTGTGGAAGTCTATGCCAATTATATTCCATTTCTTTGATGAGATGCTTGTCCTCACAATATTTCGTAAAGGCAACCTTGTTAGAATGTCATCAATTACATTATAAGGAAGGTTTCTAAGTACATGGTGGAGGTAAAAGTTGTTTTTTCCCATTTGGAAGCATAACATCAAATGACTACTACAACAAGAATCTGCAGAAAATAAACAAGAACAGAATATGTAAGGAATCTCAAAACTGTCTGGTTAGAGTACACACTACCTAGCTTACTTGTATACTGAAAAAGAGATTGTTTTTGAAAGACCAACAACTCAAGTGTATCAAATCCAAGTAAAATAAGTGTTGTTTTAGCTATCCAAAACATAGAAACTTATTATTCCTATTTCAACCTAGTGAAAATCCGAATTCCGCCACTACTGAAACACATCCATGATAGACCTACACCTACCAACACACCATGTCCTTGAAAAACATTAACCCCATCAAGTTTTAAGAAAACCCCACTTCAATTTCATCATATTAAAGCATACCAAAAAATAAAAATGCAATCTTGATATCAAAACTCTATAGAACAAGAACCATAAAAGCAGAGAGTTTCTGTTAACAGAGAAGAAGAAGAGCTTCAGAGAGGATAAATATGAAGCACTCTGCTCTCTTTGTCTTCTCAAATGGAGGTGTTGGAAGAAACTGAAGAGACAAGCTTTTGAAATTATTTTATTTTGTATTAGGATGAAAGTTAAATTATACTATTATAGTTTCAGTTTTGAAGTTAACAATTTATTTTGTAACAAATGTTGAAAGTATTTTTTATTTATGTTATTTTATCTTTTTTTGAAAATTTTGAAAATATATTTTATCTCTTTTTGAATCACCGTGTAATTATAGAAAAATTAAATAAATCAAAAAAATAAACTAAAGTCGAAACTGAAAAAATCCAACTCTATATGATTTGATTCAGTTTTTAGAACTAATAAAATGAAACAGTTAGTTTAGGTTTTTTCTAATTAAAAATTAAATTAAATCGACCTTTGTGACCTATCTGAAATAAAGAGCAAATTTGATTTCGTATATAACAACTAAAACTTCTTTTTCGTTTTTCTTAATGATTCTAAGAGTATATATATTAACTCCCAAGTAATATACATTTTCTCGTTTAAATATTTTGTATATCATACGTTCATCTTACATGTGAAAGTATGTAATATATCTTATTTAAGAGGCAGCACAAATATTAAAATAGAGAGAATATATATAGTAGAAGAAAAAAATTAAGGAAAAGATAATTTAGACACATTTAAAATTTCATTTTCTTTTTCCTTTTGCGAGTTTTATATGTAAATCATCATGTTTTTTTATTTTCTACATGAATTAGCCCGTGACAGTTCCAACTTCCAAAGCCATGTCTTATTTAAGAGATGAGTCAATTACAAGAATGTCATGTAAAATCTTTTTTAGTTCTGCAACACACAGCATAATTTCAAAATAAACAACCAAAGTCTTAAATCAATTACAAGCATGAAATGTAAAACCATCTTTGTTCCCAAACAGAGTATTCAAAACATTCATCCGAGTTCACAATTCTATGTTTCCAAGCAGAAAAAATATTTATAGTGCCTTAAAGCAAAGGCAAAACACAGGCTTGCTACTCTATCAACCAAACGTCTCGTTTATATTTGTACTTCCAAAATATTTCAGCAAATGGTTAAGAAGGATTGTCATAATGATACTAATCAACAAGGTACACGACTTCTACTTTAGATGATGCCCGTTGAAACTTTGTTATCTCCGCGAGTACGTTAAGAGATTTGTTAGTTTCCATTTGACGAGGCTTGATTACAATTTTCACCAGTGCTGGAGAATTTGCCAATAAAACCTTGACAAGCTGCATTTCAACCTCTTCTAATAGTACATCATAAAACATAACAGTCCTCTGATGATTAAATGTGATATCCGAAAAGATTGCATGAATCTCATCAACAACCTCCTTCGGCACACATCCGAAATAATCTACATCACTAAGGATACATTCCTAAGAAAAATCAAGAAAAAAACCATCAATTCATTACATACGAATAAAAAAACATGGAAAAGATAGAGAGAGAAAAAACATTAGTGAGATTAATTTCAATTTCTTCCAAATTTTGAGAGCTCCGTATTATGCAAAGAGCAAACGAAAGCTCAAAAAAATCTTCAAGAGTAATCCAAGACATGAATAGGCGTTTCAGAAAGTTAAGAACTAATGGAAGCCTTGTTCGTATAACTTTAGTTGATCCATTATCGACCTACGAATAAAATACCAAAAATCAGGATTACTGAAATTGCAAAAAAAAAAGCACACATGAAAATTCATTACCATTAAGTAAAATTAAGGAACATTACCTCTAAAAGATCCCAGCTGAAACACTCGAGAGGTGGAATAGACGAAAAAATATTGACAAAATCATCTTGGTCCTCTAGAACTAATTCTCCAGGCGCATACAGAACATTGGAAAGAACAGGGACATTTTTATGATGTATCAATTGTATATCGCCACGAAAGACAAATGACCTTAGCTTCGGAGCATTAATACTGACGAAATACGGATTTTCTATGTCTTTTAGCACCAAATCCTCAAGCAACGGGCTATTAGAGATCAAACTTTCAAACGTATCAGAAGATAACGTGACAGATTTCAATATTAGCCTAATTAACTGATTAAATCCCTTAAAGAAACATGGAAGCTGTATTTTACATTCCTTGAGATACAAATGCCTCAATGTTGAACAATCAACAAATTGTTGAAGATGATCAGTGTTGAGGGAAAAAATAAAACGATCAACATCAGGACACACTATTAGACTAAAAATATTGATGCTGACCTTCAATATTATTCCTCTATGGAATCTGAGGAAACTATCAATAATTGGAATAAATCCCATGGTAGGGGACGTCAAGTCCTCGAGTGTCTTCCACATTGTTTGATCAAACTTCACTTGTGAAATTCTTCAGCAAATATATTGCCAGTCCTTAAAAAGTGTACTAACTCTAACAACATCTCGAAAAGACAACCTACTTAGAATGTAATCGATTAAATGAATGTTAAGATTGCTAAGTCAATCAGGAGAAGGTAAACTAAGTCCTTGTTCATCCCGAGGCATGACAATCTTTAGAAAGTAAACAAAAGTACGATAGGTAAGGTCAAAGTACACACTACATGAACAACAAACAATAATGTCACAACTCTAAGATTAAAAGAAAAGGTGCATAAAAGGAGGCAAATGTAACCTTTTTCCATGTTTAAAAAATGCTAAAGAAATTATTTGTAGCTGACATTTGCATTGATTTCTTTAATCTGCAACTGCTGATGTAAATTTGTTTGGCTTAGGTTAAATCAAACACATTTAAAGTGTTTTTGTATAGAATTTGAAAAAAACTTAGACGTTTAAATTAGTGATGTTATACTTGTTGTACTAGAAATTTATAGTATTGAGTACTTACATCAAATACTATAGGAATGATTTGTGTTTCTTGAAACATTATAAATGAATAGATAATACTTAACACTTCCTTTAGCACTAAAGGTGTCATTTGGTAATACATATAAAAATAGTTTGTATGAAATTTTAGTACAATGTTTGATCGTAAATTTAACTCTTGTACAACTAATACTAGTATTACAATTAACCTCTTATGGCATATATGACCCCAAACATTTGTTCTACAAGAAGAATAAAATATTAATTTAGTGAACTACACAGTTAATTTCAATATTTTGGTGAAACATAATAAAAAAATACATCCTGAAATTTTAATTTATGTATAAGCTATTAATAGGAATACCAAAATGATGAGAAATGGTATTATTTTGTTAATTCAAATATTCATATCCAACCCCATAATAAAACCTAAAACCATCAAAACATGAATGACAAAATCAGATTCCTATAAATTAAAAAAAAAATATTGATTGTTGAATAAGGTTATATTCATTATTAAAACTTGAATGACAAAATCAGATTCCTATAAATTAAAAAAAAAATTGATTGTTGAATAAGGTTATATTCATAATTCAAGACTAAGTCATAAGTCCATATGTCTTTAATCTATGTTTTCTCAAGATATGATAATTAGAATTTTACAAATATTTTACTTTTTCTTAATAGTTTCTTTATTTGAAAAAGTACAATCTTAAGGGATAGAAGTTTGAAATAACTTAATTTTGTTGCTACCACCACCATTACACAATGAATTTAGATACACCCATCATCAGAATATATTTCATGTAATTGTTGTTTTAATTAGGGTTTCTTCCGAGGGTGACTTAATCCCTTTAAAGATGAGGCATATGCCTTAAACCCCAAAATTGAAGGGCCTAATTTTTAGTAATAATAAAATTATCTTAATATTTTTATCCAAAAAAAAAGAATGTTTTTATTTGTTTAAGATTCTTTTTTGTGGACCATATTTTAAATTTAACTTTCATATGGTATGTTTAAGACCACAAGATCAATATATACATACATATATATATATATATATATATATATATAAAACTTGAATCTAACATTGAAAAAAAGTATTAAAATTTAGGCTTCCAACTTATTTTTGACTTTAGACCACTGATTAGCTTGAGCCATCACTGAGCTTACTTATCAATTATGTTTACTAACTGTAACGACCTGTTTAGTCGTTTTGAGCAGCAAATTTTATTTCTAGAAAATTGGCTGAAACAACGGAACCCATGACGGACCGTCACAGGCACGACGGTCCGTCACAGATGTCTCGTTTCAATCTACTTAGGAATTCTAAAATTGGGTACTGAAAATCGACTCTCTGAACTTCGTAACGGACTTGCAGGACGGACCGTCACAGGCGTGACGGACCGTCATAGTGTCCTTGGTGAAAATAAAGTCCTGGCCCTCACGACGACCTGAGTGACGGACCGTCGCAGTCACGACGTCCCGTCAAAGGTTACGCAATCCCAGTTAGAATCGGATTTCTTTACACGTTTTAAGGGACATTCTGGACTATTCTTTCCTTAATTATAGATTTCGTGGGTTTACATTAATAACTCAAAATTCTTGGGGATAAAAGAGGTAATTTAGGGTTAATTAGTGGGGTATTATTGTCATCTTTTACACTTAGTTATATGTTAATTAGGGTAAAAGAAAGAGAGTTTTGAATAAGAAAAGAGAAAAGAAAAGAGAGAGATAGATTGATCGATTGAGAGAGAGAGTCGAACGAGGAAGAAGAATATCAAAGCTTGGGAGATTGCTTGTTGATTCCAATTCTTAGGTGGAGGTAGGTTATGGTTATTTCATGCTATTCGTAGTAAACTCTTAATAGTGAATGATATGTGTTAGTAGTATTGTAAACCCTTCTATATGCTTAATTGTATGCTTGCATGAATAATGTGATTATGTAATTATGAATAAATAAGCATGATGAAGCTATTGAATCCCAAATCTTGAAAAGAAACCCTAATCTACTTTGTTAATGATGATTGCCTTGGTATAAAAGAAGGCTTGATGAATAAAAGTGGTGAGATTAGGGGATCGGGTGCCACGTTCTGGTACCAGGATAGAATATGGATCGGGTGCCACGTTCCGGTACCAGAATATAATATGGATCGGGTGTCACGTTCCGACACCAGGATAGAATATGGATCGGGTGCCACGTTCCGGTACCAGGATAGAATATGGATCGGGTGTCACGTTCCGACACCAGGATAAAATATGGATCGGGTGCCACGTTCTGGTACCAGGATAGAATATGGATCGGGTGTCACGTTTCGACACCAGGATAGAATATGGATCGGGTGCCACGTTCCGGTACCATGATAGAATGAGGATCGGAGTGACACATTCCGACACCAGGATAGTATATTGAGGAGCGGAGTGTCACGTACCGACACGAGGAAAATAAAGATAATGAATCTTGAAATATGATAATATATCCAATCTAATGAACTAAATTCCCAAATGAGTATGATGGGGAGGTGTGAGTCCTCAGTGATGTGCTTGGTGTTGTAACCAAGGGTTATGGTAACTATAAATGCTGCATGCTAAGGATATTAGTTGATTTTATGATATTGCTTAATACATACTATTCCCTATTTTGAGTTGGCCGATGATATCTACTCAGTACCCGTGGTTTGTACTGACCCCTACTTTTATGTTTTTCTTCTTGTTATTTGTGGAGTGCAGCAAACGTGCCGTCATCTTCGACTCAATAGTAACTCAAGCCAGTCTTCGTCACACCGGATCTTCAGGGTGAGCTAACGCTTCTAGCTTGGACTAGATCTTCTCCTTCATGTCTTGATGCCTTGAACCTCCGGCATGGACTATCTTCTTATGTATTTTTAGCTTTTAGAAACTCTTAGAATTAGTAGTTTAAAGTAGATGTTCTTGTGATGATGACTTCCAGGTTTTGGGAATAATAGATGTTGAATATTGAGGGTTATTGAATTGGATTTTATTAATGAGTTTAAGTCTTCTGCATTATTTTCTGTTGTTATTACATTGAAATGTTAAGGTTTAGATTGGTTGGTTCGCTCACATAGGAGGGGAAGTGTGGGTGCCAGTCGCGGCCCGATTTGGGTCGTGACACTAACTCATGCTAAAATGTTCAATTAAGAAAGGAAATATGTTGAATACTGATTAATTTTTTTCTTTCTTCATATTTTTTACTTGTTATTTACTTTCAACACTCTTTAAGCCACCTTAACACCAAAAAATGTGTATTTATTACATTTCAAAATAGTTCTAGGAGGTATTAGGACATATAAAGAAAATGTGTATTCTTAAAATTTCGACCATAGTTCAAGGGAGTACTTATACTTATTTTCAAATAAAATAAAATAAATTAAATATTTACAAACTTGACAATGTTTTGTTAACCTCATATTCAAACATTTAATAATGACAATACTGACGAGGTTTTTGATGCAGGAAGTAAACAAGATACAACACAAGTACAAGGCTACAATCGGGATGCTCTCAGTGATCACACTAAGGATAGGCGCACCAGTAAGAATGGAATGTAAATATTTGTTCAATCAGATCAAATCTCACAATATGTGAAATCAAAGCCACATTCAAAGAAAATTAATCAAGGATATCGAAGATAAAAATCAAGGGAAAATGTTAAGGAAACATCATCATACCAATATTTACAATGAGTACAAGATAAATAAACTTAAAGAAAGGATCAAATCACACACGACTAGCAAGCCAAGACTCAAAATCCTCACGCATGGAAAAAATTGATCTGTCATGCACATATCTAATATGGACATGATTCAACTGATCAATTACAAATGACTCAAGGATAAGATCAAAGATCCTTGATTCAAATACCCTTGGGTTTCTCATAAGAGCTTACACTATATAAAACCTCATGTGCCAGTTGTGTGAAGCACATAATTGTTGGTCTATTGATCATCTTCCAGCCAAAGTCCCATGGCCTAATCATACTTGAAAAAGGATTGGAATTGTAATCCTATTTGTAGTTGGTCTTGGCTTTGTAAGGAAAAGCACAACTACATAAATAGAGAATGGTCTTAAGAAAATAATTCAATTTCTCATTGACATTGTCTTTGAAAGTCATTAAAACATAACAGAGGTTTTTGAGAGAGCTTTCCAAAAGAGAAAAGATAAAAGCAAAAGGGGTATTTTGCTGTAGTCTTTTTCTCCAACCAGCAAGACTCAAATCGTGTTTCCCGATTAACTAACCGTTAGATCGTGCTGCAATTTGAACTTAGTGTTCCTGAAATCTTGGTGGTTGATTTAAATGGTGGAGATCGGATTCGGAGGTCAGCAAGATCATGTTTTAGATCTAGAATAAAAGCTGAGTTTGAGTGATGTTTCTTTCTATTTATCTTTTGTTGGTGTAGCTATTGTCTTTTTGAACTTGTTGTGTAGCCAATAGAAGAATATTTTTAACCCTCTTATTCGTATAGTGAAGCAATATGGAT